TATATATATATATACACACACACACAAATATGTATATGTATGTATATATATATATATATTCGTAAATTGAAATTTTATCGCAATAAACAGGCGGAGTTTTTGTTTTAGTTTGGTGTGTAATCTTTTTTGCTTTAATTATAGTTTATCGGCGAAAAAGTAGCCGGAAACACACAGCGAATTGCAGGCAACTTTAGCCTGTTATCTCTAGTTAGGTAAACGTGGATCATGTAGCGAATTACGCGAATAAGCAACTCTAGCGTGCTTGGTGTGTTATCCATGTTTTTGTTTTTCGTCTTTATTTGTTTTTATCTTAATTCGTTTTCGTAAATAACGTCTCCCAAAAGACCACCTCCTTTTTTTATCAAAAATTAATTTCCCAAAAGCTTATCCCCTTTCTTCTCGTGTGGGAGCGAAATACCGACTGTGAGTCCACGTGACGCCGGCCGCGCGTCACGGTCGCGTCGCGAGGAAAGGAGCTTAATGAGTGTTTTCTTTTTAAAATCTTCCCAGATGGGAGAATCTGGGAATTTTAAAGACAGAGGTGTTTGAGGAGTAACCTCTCCCCAAACACCTCCGTATGCACGACCTTGAAAGAAAGATAAAAGCCTGGTACGATTTTCCTAAGACTCACTGTATACAGTAAGTTCTTATTTTCAAATGTTTGAAAATAATTATTCAATGAAGTTGTTATTTTAGCTTACATATGTCTTGTTTTTAAGGGGAGATATCACCCCTTATAAATATTATCACCTATTATAAATATTAAAAATTTTTTATAACTTATATAAACATAATATTTTTATTTGTATTACAACAAATTACAACAATTTATTTGTATTACAACAAATTCGTTCGTAGACGAACAGAATATGGTATTATTGCGGCTGATTATACACTCGACAAAGATTAAGCGAATAAATGTAAACACTTAAATGTTTACAACAAAGCAGATCTCTCGAAACACTTCTAAAATTTATGTAAAAAACTTTTTACTAATATTGACTTAAAGAATGAATGTGTTTTAAATAAAATGGCTAACAAATATCAGAAGAGATAGAGCAGGCAATAAGACAAACATTATCATACTACATTTTAAAAATATCATTTGTTTGATTTATAGTTTTACCTCAGTGTAAGCCTATAACCAAACAAATCAAGTTAAAAAGTATATTTACCTCCATATAAGCTTTCTGTTCAACTGTTCAAATATCAATTTAGAAAACAATGAAACATTTTTTATCTCTAATACGAGAAGGTATGAAAAAATCGTGTTGTTTCTGTATGCTTCTATCTATAATAGTTTATTTGTATACACAATTTGGATGAGTGAAGTATTAGTTATATGAAAAACAAAAAAAGTAGATTTTTAAATAAAGTAAGGATTGTTTTTTACCAGGACAACTTTAGATAAAACGTTTCTTTGACTACAGAAAACATTTTTTACAATCGGTGAATACAGTGGGTGGAGGAGAACATCTACCCCATACCACCGTACCTTTCATTCTCTGATTATTTGTTTTGAACTTTGCGAAGTTATCTTAATGGAAAGATATTGAAAAACTTGAAAGTATAATTACATTTCCGAGTTTTCCAACAGTTCAGACTTTCGAAAAGTTTTACACTAATGGAATTTATAAATTACCGGAAAGATGACAAAATGTTATATAACAAAATGATGATATGTCATTGATTAGGAATTTTTACTTTTTCGGATGTTATATAGAATATAAAAATAAAAGTATGGTAAACGGTCAAATTATCACCCTCCGGGTTTTTTGTATCTCTCGCTTTTTTGAAACTCTAGGGCAGGGGTGGCCAACCTTTTGCATACAATGCGCCAATTTTTTCACAGACGAGTTCAAATGCGCCATATAACTCGAACACTTTTTATACAGTCTTACGTTCAATATTAGGGGTTGATAGAGATAAGAATAAATCTGCTTCGCTTAGGAAAGAAAAGGGAATAACTTAATCATGCAGTTGAATTAATTAATTTATGACAGTTTATTGAAGCACCAATTTACAATAGTCAACAATGATCTCCTGTACCAGAGGGCGATTGCTTCATGAAGGTGCTATTGCTGCCAGAGTCTCGTTTGGTGAAGATTACTCTGCCCCACAATTAATGGCACTGAGAACGAGATCAGCTTGGAATAACTTTAATCACAATAAATGTTTTCGGCCATTTACACGATTGTAAACTGATCGGAAATAAAGATCGCAAGACTAAAAATACATGCATACATTATAATTTACTATGTGGAGAATACTCATTTTATCTGCAAAATAGACCGTAACGAATTGTGCAACAAATGAACTTGCCAAGACAGACTATAAAAAATTTATTTTTCTATATAATA